TAGAAAGTGTGTCGCTAAAGTGGCGCGCCCTGGTGGCTGAGAATTAAAGAATTCAAACAAACCTGCATTATGAACCCACTACACTTGCTTATTTTTTATTGTGCCGCAAGGGGCAGCTGATAATAGGAATAAATGACACAACTCCACAAAAATACATATAAATGTATATATTACTTGTTGTTTATTGTTTACATAAATACTTGGAGCATTTTTAGGAACAACTAGACAAGCCGTGCATTTTCTAACAGCCTTCAAGAAACCAATAAACAGCTACCATCTTCGCAGATTATTGACGATTTATGAAAACAGATAAGGAAAAAGGTAATCTGAAAATATGAAAATATCATTATTAATTTTGAACAGAGGTTTCTGTTTAAATATTAATCTGTAATTCTACATAATACAGAGGTATTAAGTACCGGTTTCAGCGGTGAGCAACCCGATGCTAAGAACTAGCTCTAATGAGAAAAATATCCTGTTTTCCATTTATTTGTTTCTTGATGAAAATGCCACCTGAATAATAAGCTAAGTGATTTTAACTTACCCAACAAAATATTCACAAATTAGGTATTGGAGAACATGGGGAAACATATCATACAATCCAGTATGTGCAGGAAGCATGAGGCACGAAACCATACAACTTATCACAGAGTATATCGTCAGAAATGAATAAAATCGGCATAGGCTTTTTCTTTGGATGATAGCGAGTAATCAACATCGACAGACGTCTTGTCCATGACAAACCCATAAACAACAATGGTGAAGATTTATCTGACATTTGACTTGCGTTATTGAATTCATCCACAGAATATTTTCCTACAGTGAGTTATTTCATGATTTAATCTGTAGCTTTTTATAATCTGTAGCGCCTCTGGCGACTATGAAATCAGTCGTTCTCGGTTAGGTTTTTAAGTGAGAGTGCCCAGGGCATGGTTTAAACAGGCACTACTAGCTAATAGCCACTGCGCATGACTTTCCCTTATTTTTTCAACTATAGTCAAGTACTACTATAAGTTAGTCGGAGAATTTTAGAATTAGTTGGGTTTGCCTCGGATTCATGGCAACCCAAAATTTCTCTCGGATTTCACAAAGCAACTATTCTTGGAAGATTGCGGGTGGTGACCATTAAGACGAGATTTATGACACTTCGGTATAGAACGAACTTCTTAAACCGTCTGCGATAAATTCATTATAGGAACACAAGTATGACGTCTAAGGGTCGGCACTTAACGGTAAGAGTGATACAACCAGGAACTTTAATTGGTTGGCGTGAAATTAGTCGGCCCATTGCGAGAATGTGAAATCCCTTTCTTTTCACCTGATCTTTTCAAAAGGTTTCGCACTTATATTATATTCCCCTTCGTATTCCCAAATTTTATTTTCAGGGTGGACATATACAAAAAGGTGAATAGACAGTGGGTAGAATTCTTTTGAGAATGCAGATTTTTAAGAAATGAAATATAAAGTGTCTAGTTAACAGCCCTTGGCCAATAACCATCAAAATAACTCAGCTTCTCTTGCTTCTTCGCTCCTTAGTGTATTTTCCTGATAGATTAATTTAAGTAACGCAGACTGAAATGTGATCCACTTGTTATCGAAGATGCCACTGTCGTCCAATTGAATATGGGCAAACAGGTTAACCTGTCCTTTTGAAAAGGACAACCTGTCAGTGACAGATATACAGGGTAATTGTTCTATTGAGATATTCCAGGAAGATTTGTACTACCTGCCAAGGGTAGAATCTGAGGGTGGGGGTAGTTTTAAACCAATATAAAAGAGGATCATTGGAGGTTGCTATTAGAGCAGAGCCCGCAGAAATAAAGCTCCAAACAATTCGTGTGCCTTCGTGCTAGTGTCTGTTTCAATTATTAATCAGGTGAGTGCGTGTTTCACAGGGTAACTTTTTGACTGTAGTTGAATATTAATTTTCTGCAATATTCGTATATTGACTTGTACTCTTATCAAAATACAGTGGCGTGCCATTTTTCTCTGGAACAAATTCGGTGGCGTGCAGGTACTCACTCTAGTGGCAAAAGTTAAATTTTAACACTCTGTAAATCGGTAACAAATCATTTATATTATTATAACAAGTATAAACTAACGCCCACAATACCAATAAATTGATGGAAAACCGAGCAGTTCGGTGCAACAACGTGTTTTTATTCAAAGGAACATTATCAACCTATTAATTAACTGTTTATACAAAAATTAACGAACGAATGGAAATACGGTTTTTTATACAGGGTGATTCAAAATTGGCGTCATTCCTCTGGGGGTGTTGTCTGGCGGTGTTATAGGAGTACAGAAAAACTAGTAAAAGAAATTAATTGTTTTGTAATTTGGAACCATAAAACTCGCCTGGATCAGTAAGTTTGACATAACTAGGGTCTCATTTGGGGACAAAACAGACGGTTCTTTTATATCAAAATTTGATGACGTTTGGGTTCGAGAGTCATCTTTTTTGGGGCGTGAAGCCGAAAGGTTATTATATTTATTATACAGGGTGATTCAAAATTGGCGTCATTCCTTTTAAGGGGTGATGGAGGCTCACTTGGGGAGTCCGAGAAAAATATGGAAAATTTTTTTTTCCAAAATTTCTCAAAGATATTAACAGTTGAAGATCGAATTTCAACTTTGCTATTAAGCATTAAATTGTTCCATGTTTAATTGGTAGCATATTGGAGTACTTAAGCATTCAAAAAGAAAAATTACGATCTTTTTGTCAAATTACGAAAATTTTCGATATTGAAAAAGTTCTCTTCTACAATTTTTTGATGAAAAGGCACAGCGGCAATGATGTTTTTTGCCATTAACAGATAGTTACAGGTGGATAGCTCTTGTCAATAATAACAATAATTTGTCAAACTGTGACGATAAGCATGCACTAGCTTGTTTAAAGTTAACCATTCAAATGTTTGGTGTTGTATGGATTATTTATGTAAACACCAAACCCCGCAGAATTCGAGGTTATGAGAACGGGTTGACATTTTGAAATAGGTTCCGTCATTCAACGATTCCTGTTGAATTTACCGTTTATCCTTGTCTATCTTATTGTCACTCTCTATTTACCCATGGTTACCGGAATTTTAAATAATTACGAATCAACAGGTATTTGCGCAATGTTAATTAGGCAGATTACCTTAAAACACATTGCTGCCGTATTTCCGATATAGTTTTTCGCAAATTTCTCAGTTTTTAATAACAATTAATTTATTTTACTAGTTTTTCTGTACTCCTATAACACCGCCAGTCAACAGCCCCAGAGGAATGACGCCAATTTTGAATCACCCTGTATAATTATTTATATTGAAAGAAAAAATAAGATTAATTTGGAAAATAGTCGTTTTTGGGACGACAAGTCAAAAGGGTTATCATTATCTCTGCAGATGGTGTTGAGCCGTCTTATTTAGGGCGGCTTTTATCAATTCATGATAGCGTTCAGCCGTGGAAAAAAGATAAGTTTAATGAATTTGTTTGTCAAAAGTTGAAACTTGAATTATTAGGCTTGGGTTCAAAAGTCGTTTAGATAGAAAGATGCGTGCGTGAGAATTTAGTAATTAATTAATTAATCACGGTGTAAGCAAGCCATGTGATTAAGGTGTGGTACATAACAAAACAAATCTAACGGGCAATAGTCAATATGGGTCCAAATGGTGAAAGTACCATATGGTTCATATAACTAAAGCGAGAAAACTGGAAAGAACTTGTTCCCTGTTCATAAATCAAGTTGCTTTGATGCAATAAATACAACACTGCCCACATGTGGGAAACACTCTGAATTTTTGTAATTTCTTTTACTATTTTACCATCGGCGGATTTGAAAAGTGCCGACCGAAAAGTGAATTCAGGAACTCCTTTACGACCAACATTTTTTTATACAGGGTGTCCCGAAATTGTTGGCCCGCAGTAATGCTTTACGGTATGGTCTGGTGTGGCACGCGCACATGCCTGTACGCACGGTACGCGCAGCCAAAAATTGCGTACTGGTCAGCCATGTTGCCGAACTGCCACCAAAGTAGAAAATTTCAATGAAAACAAAAAAGTAATTCACTCAAGGTTGAAAACTTAGCAGAATTACGTCCATACAGGAAATAGACGAAACTGATAAGCTCATACATATGATTGTGCGCGTAATTTAGCCGGATGAGTGCAGCCAGCCGTTTGAAATATAAAAATAATTCTGTGTGCATGCAAAGAAAATAAAATAAAGTATTTTCAGCTTTGGTTTCTCTATGGATGTCTATGAATGCGTGTTAGTTCTTAATCGGTTAATGGAAATTATGATGAGAATCGGAAAAGTAGTGCAAATATATCATCTGGGTATTACTAATTACTATCTATTTTATATTAACTAGTTAATTATATTAAATGATTTGTGTACATGAAAAGGAAGGAAGTGGTAATGTTAAGAAAGTGCTAATATAGTACTGGCAACTACGCGAAAAATTTACGCCGACGCAAAGAGCTGAACCATCATGGCGACCGTTGTTTTGTTTTGGAAATTGGTGAATTTCAGAGGGTGAAAAGTCCTGGAAAACGGCGGTAGGTCCAAAAATGTATAGGAAAAATGTTGTTTGTTACGAGATTTTCTATAAGGTGAGCATAGTCTTAATCTTAGTACCAGATCGTATTGTAAAGGATTACCCTGAACACTTACTTCTTCAAGTGTGTGAACCATATATATTGGTAGATTAGATATTAACCAGATGCATTTTTTATCAGTAGGTTAAGCTAGGATTTCCTTTACATTTTTAAGGGTAGCTTTTAAGACGGCCAGTCAGCTGAAAACCACCAAAGAGTTTGGTGCATCAATTTGTTAACAGTCGACTTTGTTAATTTTAAATAAATATTTAAAAAAACAGTCTCGGCCATTGATCGTTAACTCGTGACAACTACGAATGTCTACTGAACGGGGCTCCGTGCGCTGTTGCCGTGTGGTAGTAATATTTGACGCCACTTCCGTCAATCATTTACCCATGTCTCCTATAGATGTGAATGAAAATTTATTGTATCTAATTAAGTTTTTTACTGTTTTGAAGGAAAAATGTGGGAATCAAATACGGATGTATTATTAACTTTAATAGAAAAAAAATATATATTACACAAGCATGCGTGTGCGATTGTTAAAATTATTCACATACATTTATTTGGAATTAAGTTCGCGATTTTAGGTGACAAGCGTTCAACATAATTTGGGCGTATTATGTTCAATAGTTAGTAAGCCGGGCATACATTATGGCGTAATTTCTACCAGGGTTGAAAAATTTAATTTACTCTAAATTATTAGTAGAAAGCATACAAAGAGTTCACTGAGATCTGAAGATTATCGAGAGTCAAGTGTTCACTAAACTCAAAATTCAAATCACTCTGTATATCCACTGACACAAGGGCGGATCCAAGGGGAGGGGTCATGGGGGTCATGACCCCCCCTTCAATTCGCTATCCAACGATGCCAAAACGAATTCTCTGGCAACTCAAAAAAAAACACGCAAATCTAAAACTTCTTGAATTCAAGCATTTTTTGAGAAAATTGCCAACATTTCCTTATCGATGGTTCACTTTTTAAAAAGGCCATTTATTTATCTCTAGAATGACGTACAAATGAGCGTTCTTGCACATTTAGCCGCCGAGAAATGAGCAAAAATGGCACGGAAAACATGGCATCTTGGCATCTTGCACCTAAATGTCTGATATTCAAATTTGGCTTTCTGAACCAAAACTACTCGAATTTACTCACTCACGTTGTTACGACTGAATCGACTTTTCAATTCTCTATCCAACGATGCCAAAACGAATTCTGTGGCTCGAATGGTTCTTGAGAAACTTCGAGAAAACGACGATCATTTTTCTAATGACAAAACAGAAGACTGTATTTTTTCTACATAACCCCCCCTGAATTTAAAGCTGGATCCGCCCCTGCACTGACACTATGAAGAACTAACTATGTTAGCGAACAAAAATGTCAGCACAGACTGCAACTTAGCAGCTGCGTTGCAAAATGAGATCGACCTCTGTTTTGCTGAAGACAGCTATATTAAAACGCAACTAAAACTTTATACTTACTGCATTGCCTACGTTCGCAATTGCTGTAATCAACAGCTTGGCGTTGCACCGGAAATATTCGCSRCAAGTCAGTTCACCCACCTGCATGCACACACAGGGTGGTTCAAACTGGCGGTACTCTCAGATTTKTTCGCATATCAAACCTCCCAATGGGAAACCAGCTAGATTTCAATAATTGACCTACTCAGACGGTTATAAGAAYTTAACCCCTGGATCAGTGTTTTTTAATTTTTTTATAGAGGGTGATTGAAAAATGGGGTTTTTTTCTCATCAAAAACGGAGATATTTGCAAAAAACTGGATCAGAAGGCCGACAACAATGTTTTTCAAAGTAATCTGCCTCATTAACATTGCGTTGCTTCTTAAATATCCAAAGCTCAAGTAACCATAGATAAACACAGAGTTTGAGGTTGAAGTTGAATGACATCGGGTAGGGTTGCGGATGGCAGATGTCAACAAACAGGTACCTCCTGTAAAGAGCTGAGCTCAAAGAAGCTTCAAACTGTCATAATTTGACAGATCAGATAATTGTTACTCTTGACAAAAGTAGTACCTGTAACTTCTTGATAATGACAAAAAAACATTGTTGCCGCCTTGAATTTGCATCAAAAAATTGTAGAAGAGGATTTTTTTGCTATCAAAATTTCTCATGGTTTGAAGTAAAAATTCTACTTTTAAGCTACCAATCCAGCATGGGACCAGCAGCAAAATGATACGTATATGTATTAACAAAGTTGAAGATCGATTTTTAACTGTTAATATCTTCTAGAGCTCCAAGGAGCAGTCGCTTCGTACACATATAAAATGCCAACTAAACTATTTTTGCGTCTGAAAACATATCGCTGCAGTGGAATGTTCAGAAAAACGTCCTGTCCATGCAAAAATAATAAATAGCTCGCATATCACGCGAATTCATTAGTATTCCGCAGTAAGAAGTGAATCTTAGTAGTGATATTCCGTGGATATCTACAGGTAATCTTTTCTCGTATGCAGGTACTAACTGGTGAAACGTCATTCAGGGTTTTCTTTCTGTACGAATCACAAGCTTGTGAGAATTTGGTTGTGAGTCATCTTTTTTTGATATTTTCGAAATTATTTCAACAGTTTTTCATCTGCAAAAAGCGATCGTTACAATTCACTGTCAAGTTTTTTTCACATTTTTCAATGATTTCTTGTTCCTAGGAACGCAACTCAAGTGCTAAACAAGTATCAAACAAACTTTCCAAACTTTCTGATGATTTCAAAGTAGCCAGGTTTATAGATTTTCTTCGTTTTGCCCTACTGAAAAGTGAGTCTGATGGTTTTAAAAGCAGGAAGTCTGCAAACATGAAAACTTTTCGGAAAAATGTTCTTGATATTGAATATGGTGTTGACACACACCACACACAAGGTTTGTGTGAATTCAGGTATACCACTTTTTTAAACCAAAAATGTTGGCAGCACCGCCGGCAAAGTGACAACGTTATCCTAACCTCGAAATATTTAGTTCCCACCCTCCGTTTTGTTGTGTTTTTGTTTACCAATTGTTACGACAGTTTGAAATAATTAAGAAGCAACAGGTATTTACGTAATGTTAATTAGCCAGCAACATTGTTGCCGTTTTTCTAATATAGTTTTTTGCAAATTTCTCAGTTTTTAATGACAATTAACTTTTTTAAATATGTTTTCTGTACTCCTAAAACACCGCCAGACAACACCTCCGGAGGAATGCCGCTAATTTTGAATCACCCTGTATAATATTTGATTGGGGAAACCTTCTTTAGTATGGGCACGGCGTTTATGTTATTACAGAGTTCGGTTTTTTTGCCGGTAGGTACCTACTTGGCGGATTGGAATATTTAGATTCGCGATTTACCAGAATGGCTGAAAATTCCGAAAATTAAAGTCAATTTTGATCTCTAACTTTAGAAGGAAAAATCAAAATCAGAAATGCAATTGCGAATGTTAGTGAGCGCAAAAGGGGTGATTGCAAACGGGCTTTTAAAATATGAACTTGACTTGACGACTTTAAGATATTTTGCATAGTAAGTAAATAAGTAAGTAATAAATCAGTCAAGTTGATCAGTTTGCAAGGTTGTCCAAGAACTGGTTGGTGCGTCGCAAAAATATGCAGATGCACTCATTAAATAAATCCCGATTGTGAGAAAATTGTAAGCCGTCTAGGTAACTTGAGAATAAATGCAACACTGATATTACTGACTAGTTTGTGCGCTTACTTTCATGATAAGCTTCTAATTTGGACTTCAGGCTAGTTTTCAAATTCATCGTATTATTTCGAAAAAACTGATAATGTTATTCGAATAACGAACGAATAAACGAATATTCGAAGACTCCAATACTCGAATAAACCAACATTAACAACCTCACAAGGTGCAAATATCTTTATATGCACTTTGTATACTTTTATAAAATAAATGATTCATATTCTACAAGCATTTGAACAAATACCCATGTATTTACAAGCAAATGGAAATAATCACATTTATTTTCCTGCAAATGAATATAAAATTACGTCTCTGTGTTCTGGTGATTCGCGTTATCAACTTTTGCGCGGTGTTACAATTAATGTGCCGACAAAGGCACTTTTTTATCCGTATACGAATACTCGAATATTAGAATACTCGATTATTCGAATAAACCACTAAACGAATATTTGAATTTCAGATTTTTTTAAATTCCGAGCCCTACTACAGACATAAAGAACAGGAGACATAATTACTTAAGGTTACTTGAAACGAAAGCATTATGAAAATCGAACAAAATACTACATTAATATGTTTTCAAAAGTGCTTCAAGAGTCGAAAGATTCTAATAGACTGTGACTAGACTAGAGCGGCTAGACATGTTAAAAAGCGCGAGAAAAAAACTAACAATGCAGAGAAATAAATGAAGCACGAGCATGAGCTAAAACACGATCGCGATTTCAAGTTTGCTGTTCCCACGCTTGGTTTATCAGAATTTTTTTGAAGATTTGAGGACAGTTTTCCTTAGATTAAGATGTTGACAAATAACGTCTGATAAAAGTTGATATAGCGATGAATAATTCCAGAAATGCCTATAAAGCGGTTGCTCAAACTCATGCAGCTCAGTCAAGAGTTGATGGCTCGCGGCATTCGGCGGCTTGAGCATTTTGCGCGGTTTGTTTTATTTTTGGTGAAACAAACTTTATCGTATTGTGTAAACCCCAGGAATCGATGAGTTTGTGACCACCAAGTTGTGTTTGCTGATGAACTTCTCGAAGAGCGCGGAGATGAAAGTTCAGTGCGACAAGAATATCGTCCCTATCAAACCTAGTTTTACTGTGTCCAAGGCACCTTTGAAACTTAACTGAAACATCTGTGTCTTCAGTAGAAGAAAAAATCTCATCCTAGGGACTACCCGTACAAAAAACGGACGTTGAAGAACAAATGCGACAAATTAAGAGTGTTATGTACCATGCCTTGATGACATGATTATTCCATTAATTCTGGGTTCTCACGTACGCATCTGATTACCTAAACAACATTCGAACCCGATCCTAATGGATGCAAATTCTTAATTGATTCCTTTGACCTAATAGCGTCTT